TAACAGAACCCGTATATCATGTGTTATTTCATCTATGACAATAATTTAATATAATGATTAACATATATTTGCTTCACATGTATTTGGTTCACAATATAAACGTTTTTAGAATATTTTCTGTATACGTAAAAAAAAAGTTTCACAATGTGAAACGAATACATAAGAAGCAAATATAATATTTTATTTAAATGGAGAAAAATCATATGAAACAAAACCWTGATTAAAATAAAAGTTGTCATGGATCTCATGAATTTTGAAGTTCTCAAATGATGTATATATACAAAGAGAGGGAGAGATAGAAATGACGAGATGGTTAAATACGTACGTTTGCATTCGGCCTTGCATTTAGGGGAATAGCAATCGATAAGGCAAACCTTAGCCTTAGGTTCATTAGATTCGCTGGAGGGGCATTCCGATGGGCAGTAGAGGGTTTGGCCCTCGCAACGGGACCAAGGGCCACAGTAAGAACTCGAATAGCCTTTCACTTGCGAAATTGCACCCAAAACAGCAAATGTTGCCAAAACGATGCAAATCAAACTCTTGTTGCTTGCCATTGTGATGGTGTTTTTGGGTTAACTTGATATGGAAATGGGTCTTCCAAATGCTCTATTTATAGCTTCTCTCTCCGTCCTTCTGTATCTCTTGTGAAGTAGGAATGGAGTGCATGTCAACGTTATGACTTGTAAAAGCTTATTGCTTTCACCTCAAGATATGCATGGCTGAATTCCTTCTCAATCATTCCAACTATTCTTTTAACGAAAAGGGCGAAATCATATATAACATGTCCAAAAATAAGATTTGAACCCGTGATCTTTAAGTTACGGTATAAATGTATACAATTTGGATGTGAAATTGTGAACACGATGATGGAAATCTACAAAAATGGTGTCGAGTTGAGGTCGATATTAGATTTGTGGGGTTTGGAGTTCAACTATTCCATGTAGCTTAGAATCAACTAAAAGCTGTTAGTTTTCTCTTAAAGATACAACTGATCTTGCATTGCTTGCATGCAACACAAGCTACATGTTACATCTGACATATATGCATGCATACATTAGCTTGGATGTCGAAGAAATGTTACAATAACATCTAACAAATTTAAAGATAAACAATTCCAAGGCCCTGTTTGTTTTTACCTAAAAAACACTTAATACCCTCTTATGTCTGAATCGGTCAGACCTTAGGGTATTAAGTGTGTTTGTTTTTTTTCTTCCAATTAGGAGCTTAAAAGCTCTGATTATGTCTAAATTATTTAGAGGTAACATTTTCACTTAAAACATCTTAATTGCTTTTAGAGCTTCCAATGCTTGCAAAGAAAGCCTAGATTTCAATGATTCAGATTTCAGATTTCAGACGTAAAAACAAACAGTCTGACTGATTCAGATTTCAGACTTCAGCACCACCTCTTAAAATTCAGAAGTGAATTCAGACTTCAGACTTAAGCACCTCTTAAAAAACAAACGCCACCTAAATGTATTTTTTTTTTGTCTAATTGTGTCGGGTTTTTGACGTGACTTAACTTGAAAATACATGGTTAATCCAAATACATCACTGTAACAAAATCGGGTTTATAGGACCCTCCTAAATTCTAAGCGTCATAATAGACTTATTTATAGGACTTAGTTTATTGGACCAAAAAAATAAAGTGTCATATCTAAAGGCGTTGTAATAAGTTTATATGACGTTTTTTGACGTCGTAATAAGTTTTCTATGACACTTTAGTTATAAAACGTCCATTAACAACTTTATAGAACACTATCTGAAAAACTGTCATATAAAAACAGTTGTCCTATAAAAAAAATGAGTTTATAGGACACTTTTTAAAAAATGTCCTATAAAGTTGCTAATGTGACATTTTGTATTAAAAATGTCCTCAAAAACTTGTTAAGACGTCCAAAAGCGTCATTTAAACTTATTACAACACCTTTAGATATGACACTTTATAATTTGTCATATAAATTAAGTCCTACAAAGCGGTCTATTGGGACGCTTAGAGATTGGAGGCTCGCTATAAACCCAATTTTCTTGTAGTGAACAAAACATTTATATGCATTCAACTACCTTTATTTGCCTATTTTTATTATCATGAGCGAAATTTTATCAAATTCACACTACAACAAAATCTTTTTTATAGGACGCTTCCAATTTTTAAGCATCTTAATAGACCTCTTTATAGGACCTAGTTTATAGGACCAAAAAATAAAATATCTTATCTAAAGGCGTTGTAAAAAGTTTACATGACGTTTTTTTACGTCTTAATAAGTTTTTTTAGGACACTTTTAATGTAAAGCGTCCCATTAACTATTTTATAAGACACTATTTGAAAAAGTATCTTAATAAAACAAGTGTCCTATAAAAATTTGAGTTTATTGGACACTTTCTCAAAAGTGTCATATAAAGTTGATAATGCGACGTTTTGTATTAAAAATGTCGTAAAATACTTGTTAAGACGCTCAAATGCGTCATATAAACTTATTATAACGCCTTTAGATATGATGCCTTGTATTTTGATCCTATAAATTAAGTCCTATAAAACAGTCTATTGGGACACTTACAAATTGGGGATGACCTATAAATTCAATTTTGTTGTAGTGGTTCTCACCTTCTCACTATATACTCTGGCCTTGTTTGTTTTTTTATAAATAACCTCTTCATAGCCTCTTAAGTTTGATTCAGTAAGCGGTTTGATGTTTTAGACTGTTTGTAATTTTTCAGTTATAAGAGATGAAAACGTCCGAGTGTCCTCTTGTACAACATGAGGTGAAATCATGTATGATTGATTCTCTTATCGAACAAGAGGAGAAAACCTAAATCCCTCTCGTCCCCTTTCCATTAACTCGTCGCTCACCCCTCATAATCCCTCACTAGCGTAGACCTTATGTGTTGTTGCCTCTCGCTGTTGTTCCCTCACTGATGCTCACATGTGTCGCCCCTTCAGTTCTCTCTTCACCAAATCAAGTCGACCCAAATATGTTTTGCACGATCTTGGACCCAAATGCTATAATGCTTTGGTTTTAGTGGTTCATACTTCATTGCATGTCTATCTTTGATGGGTTATATTCGTTTGTCTTTTTTTTTTCATATGTTTTTAGAGCCAAATTTGTTTGTCTATCTTTGATGGGTTATATTTGATTGAGCATGCACACAACAAAGAAAATGTACCTATTAATGTTGATGAAAGTTCAACACCACCGTCTAGCATGCCTACCGATGATAACCAAGGAACTCAAAAGCCAAGGTCGACTAGGGTTGCATCTACGGTTTGGAACCACTTTACGAAGGTATGTGAGACTAAGGTACTGAAAAAGCTAATTGAATGCAACTATTGTGGTAGTAAAAACAATGGTATAAGTAATTTGTTAAATCACATTAACTCCCAATGTAAGAGGTTTCCTGAGAGAGGTGACAAGAACCAAGCAAAAGTGTGTTTTGAAATGTTGAAAGAGGAGGGAGCTAATTTGTTAACACATAGGTATGATCCCGAAATAATAAGAGAGTATGTTGCTAGGATGATCGTCAAATATGAGCTTCCATTCTCTTTTGTAGAGAATGAAGGGTTCAAAGAGTTGTTTTCCAAAGCAGAGCCTAGGTTTCACATCCCTTCTCGTACTACAATTACAAGGGATATCATGAACCTTTATCTTAGAGAGAGAAAAAAAAGCTTAAGAGATATAGAACCAATTTTTAAAACTTTATTTTAAAATGAAGAATATATAAAAAACAAATTATATTGTTGTAGATCACTCGACATTCCTTGTTAAATTTGGAATGTTTATTTTATAATAAACGGAACAATTTTTAAAAAAGTTTGATCATTTTTAAGAATTTGATTTGCTAGTAAATTTATTTATTTTATCATTTTATTTTTAAATCTAAATACCAAATTTGATTAGTAATAATAATAACACCTCGATTAATAATAATAATAATAATAATAATAATAATAATAACTAATTAACTAAAAAAATATGAATAAAAATGATTAATAATAGCATAATTAGTGGATAAAATAAAAATTAAAGGGATGTCTAGATTGTGGATAAAATAAAAATTAAAACATAATTATGTAATGATTGATAATAGAGGGATGTATAGATTGTAAATAGAGTAGTGTTCGAATAGAATTACCATTTTTATGGCTTTATGTGGATCGTATCTAAGCCATTAGACACTAATGGTCGAATAAGCCAATCATTTTTTTATTCGTTAAGTCGCAAGTAAACATTTCAATATAGTTGTGCGAATAAGCCCAATAAGCTAAAAGTAAATTATCTCTAAGTTTAGTTGATGTGCGAGCCTAATATGCCCTCAGATAACTCTGAGAGGGCAATAAACGAGTATACATTGCCTTGAGTACAAAAACATATGGAATCTCATTAAATTACTTTCCCAAAAAACACTTCAAAAGAGAAGAGAGATTCCCATATATATATATATATATATGTGTGTGTGTATATATATATATGTAGCCGACATGAGACTCTAACATAAGAGTAGAACTAATGATTGTATACAAAGACTTTTCGATATTGATATAAGTCGAAAAGTCTTGTTACACTTGGCCATCTCGAGCGGTAAAAGACACATGGAGAATACAACCAAAACTATAAGACCTAACCAAGCAACAAATGGCGAAAACGCGATAATAGGTAACTTCATTCTATATTTTTGGTCGACCAGCGCATATATAATATATGTCGTTTTGTACGGGAAGTGTTTTGCACCACTCCATTTAGTTGTGGCAAGGCTTTATCCAACTCGTCTCTTGTTCACTATAGGTCGTTATTGCCATAACCACATAAACTCGAAATCCTTTTGTACGCCAGCGTGGCTGGAATACCCTTTAAATTCGTCCTCTTTCATCATTAATTTCTCATTCTCCTCCTCCTCCTTCAAAGTCCATGTCCACAACCTTTGATCATTTCTATTTTTGGTAAATTCATTCGGTGAACATGTTAGAAGGAAAAGCTGTGATCGGGGAGACAGATATGCTTCAGACCATGCAAGAAGATGCACTTGAGCTCGCAGCTAAAGCACTCGACTTCTTTGATGTAACTGACGCTACTGAAATCGCCCGAGTCATTAAACAGGTATATAATTAGTTGATCAAGAATGCGATCAATTATTGTATTCAAAGATTGATTAATTAATTAATCTGTGATTAATTGGATGCAGGAATTCGACAGGATGTATGGAGGTGGTTGGCAGTGTATTGTAGGGACTGATTTTGGGTCATTTGTGACTCATTGTTCAGGTTCTTTCATCCATTTTTGTATTGGGAGTCTTGCCATTTTGCTGTTTAGAGGGTCATCAGCAGTTCCAGAGAACAATATTGATGATTAATTATACTGAGGTCTGGAACTGGAATAGGAGAATTGGAATTGGAATTGGAATTGGAGGGATCTCATCATCTTTATATATGATGTTGGTTTCTTGTAACAGTTAAAGTTGGATGAGTTTGTGGAAAGCTGAAATGAAGAAGGATGTATTGATTCCAATAGGAGATGGTGGATATAATTGGTTGTGGGATAAGTCGTTCAAGAACCACACATCAACTTATCCACATTTTGTTTTGCTGTACGTACATTTTGGTGTAGAGTGTATCAAAGAACTGAAAACTTGTTTGATTAATTACGATGTATTTGTGCTATATATACATACGTATTATCGACATTCTATTGCTTATCTTCTCATTCTATGAATTTTGTAAATTAATCTACGCAATATATATACACTACAAAAATGCTGGGTATCAGCGAGGGAAAATTCCCTCGCTGATCCGTCGCTGAAAG